TTTATATATATATATATATATATATATATATATATATATATATATATATATATATATATATATATATATATATATATATATATATATATATATATCGGTAAGTCTAAAATGACACCATTGTTACTGGTGTCATTTGCTTACACCAGTTTGTTTGGGGTACATACGGTGCTCCGTTTGTAAAAACGACGGTTCCTACCCCCCTAACCCTACCCCTAAACCCCCCACCCTTGCCCCCCCACCCCAGCCCCCCCTCCCGCCCCCTCCCTAACCTAGCAGTACACTGCCTGGCAGTGTACTGCCAGGGTAGGGAGGGGGCGGGAGGGGGGTTTAGGGGGAGGGTTAGGGGGGTAGGAACCGTCGTTTTTACCAACGGAGCACTGTAGGTACCCCAAACAAACTGTTGTAAGCAACTGGTGTCATTTTAGACGCTCCCTATATATATATATATATATATATATATATATACATACATATATATATATATACACACACACATACATAGATATATATACATACATACATATATTTATAGATATGTATATATGTATATCTATATATATGTGTGTGTATATAGATATATATATATATATATGTATGTATGTATGTATGTATATATGTATATATATGTGTGTGTGTGTGTGTGTGTATATATATATATATAATGTTTTGAGTGGATTATGTTTTGTGTAACAACTCCAGCATATTCCATTAAAACTAATGGGGGATATTATGGCTATATCAAGGCAGCTAAGGGTCTGAGGCAAGGAGATTCAATCTGTCCCCTGTTATTTGTGCTAGTGATGGAAGACCTGACCAGGAGCTTCCAAGTAGCAGCAAATCAGAAAGTCGGGTTTAGGTTCTATCCGATGTGCATCCAATTGAAAATCATTAACTTATGTTTCGTAGATGACTTAATTGTGGTCAGTAAGGCTGACCATAACTCACTGGCCTGCATTATGAAAGTGTTGGAAGAGTTTAAAGGTGCAACAGGTCTCAGAATCAATAAAAATAAATCACAAATTGTGTTTGGAAGGACTAAGCAGAAACTGAAAAAAAAGTTACTGGCCTTAACAGGTATGAAAATGGGTAAATTTCCTCACTTATTGGGGAAGCCCCATAACTACTGCCAGGATGAAACAATGTGATTGTGATACACTGATTGATAAGCTCACTAGTAAGATAACAACTTAGGGCACTAAGCATTTCTCTTACATTGCTAGAGTGAGAACTATTAATTCTGTTTTCATGGGTATTGTGTCCTTCTGGTCAAGAATGTTCATTCTGCCCAAACAGATTTTGGTGAAACTAATGGCTATATGCAGTAACTTTCTGTGGGGAAGTTCTGATAAATATAAAAAGGTACCTCTTGTGAGATGGGATGAGGTATGTCAGTCGAAGAAGTATGGAGGCCTTGGGATTAAAAATATTATCAATTGGAATAAGGCTTCTATAATGAAACTAAATTGGGATATTGCTGAAAAGAAGGATGTCCTGTGGGTGAACTGGATACACAGTAGATATATCAAAGGAGGAGACTTTTGGGAATACATCCCAAAACTGGAATCATGCTATTATTGGAGGGCAATGCATGGTGAAAGTGAGGGAACATTTTAGAGATATACCTAGGGGAGAAAAGTTTAATATCATGAAAGGGTACCACTGGCTGCAGGGGGAAGGGAGAAAAGTAGGCTAGATAGATTATGTTTGGAACAAAATGGCCCACCAAAATTTAAGTTTGTGGTGTGACTTATGATGAGAGGAAGACTGCAAACAAAAGCTAGAATATCAAGATATATAAACGTGGACACGAGCAAGAAAGCAGCAGCAGTTTCAATATAATATAGAATTCAAGGTTGGTAGTTTCTCGTATTTAGAAGAGTTGCTGTAGGACAATATCAGCAAGAAGAGAAGGATGAGATTAATAGCAATATAGGCTGCAAGAGGCTGCAAGTGTGTATGGGATATGGAGGATGAGGAATAGAATTTTTCATCAAAAGGATTGTACTGTTGAGGAAACAGTCAACTACATACGTTTTTATATTGGAAGCTACTCTATGTATAGAAGGTTGATGTAATTGGTACTTTTGTATGACTCAATTTTGGTGTGGAATAAAAGTGTGTTTTTAATGTGCAAAAAAAAAAAAATATAACAACTAAACTTCTCTAATATCTTGACTAGTATGAAGCCTACTCTTCATGGTTCATGGAGGCTTTGTGCGTTACTAAGTTCAGAAAAGTAAGATTAGATTCTAAATTCTAATAGAGTCAATAACACAGAAAAACAAAAAATAAATAAAAATAAGAGTAAATTTTATAAATAGTGCCTAATTATAGGTGGCTTTCCTTATATAGTTTCCAATTCTAAGATAGTCCAAATTTAAAAAAAAAACTATCTGTGAAAAAAACTATTTTGTCAACTTTTTAAAAAACTATTTCACAAATAATAGGTATTACATACGGGTAGGGTTCTCATAACATTGGAATCCCATGGCATAGGATGACGCGAGGGTGCTCCGTGTCATATTCGTAAAATTGACGATTCCTAAACTCCTTGGTAAACCACCCACCCCGCTCCGATCCGGACACACCCCCCACACCCTTCAATTTCACCCCACAAGTTGATTTTGGCTTTAGATTCAAAATTTGGTTCCAAAGTCAAAATTAACTTGTGGGGTGCAATTGAAAGGTGTGGGACTGTGGGGGTGTCCGGTTCAGGGCGGGAGTGGGGGATTAGGAGGAGTATAAATTGTCAATTTTATAAACGAGACACTGGAGCACTCCCAAGTCACTCAATGACATTACCGAGCAATATCATGAGATCTGTCCCATTACATAATTATAGATTGTTAGGTGGAGTATTACCTAAATAGTTCTTAACTTTTTAGAAAACGATTGCATAATCGGTTTTCCATGTGATAATCAATATTGAATTTTGATATCACCATCTCATTCCTTTTGATAGTAGTTTGATTTTTTTTCGAGTTAGAAAAATTCAATTTAAAGACACTATAAAGGAAAAATTACTGCTGGGTACCCTTAATTTTGTGATAAGAAATACCAGGTTCCAATATTTTTTAAAATATACTCTAGGGTACCTTAAATTATCCGAAAAATTACTAGGAGGTGACATTCCGTCCATGCCTCCGTTAATGTCTCTCTCCGTTATCTTTTTCTTCTTCTTTCTTGTTTCTTTCTCTCTTTCTTCTTTTTCTCTCTTTCTTACACCAGCCCCCCCACACCTTCCCAATCCCCATTAGAGACCAGCGCCCCCCTTCCTCCTCATTTTTTTACAAAGAGTCTAGTAGTATATTTTTTTAGAAAAATAGCAATACTTATTATTATTATTATTATTATTATTATTATT